TATTTTCTTATTGTAGAATATTTATATTTCAATCAATAAATTGTTATTCGATGATTTTCTCTTTATTTTATAGAAAACTTCTAAAGTTTGATTCAAGTTGTTATCTACAACTTGATTTGAACTTCACCGTTCTTATAAGAATAATTCAAATCAAATTTATTCAACGAATTTTATTATACATGAAACATACTACTTAAAATAAACTACATGCAAAACATTTTCAAATTCAACTATACGAATTCTGTGAAATTCTACAAGATAATTCAATCAATTATTATATTCAATCTCAATAAGAAATCTATTATTAATCTATTTAAGAAAATTTTTCTTATGAAAACTAAATTAGTTTTTTCAAGTTATTATCAATAATCAAGACAAAAATTCATCATTTCAATATCAAACAAGATTTTTTTTCATTTTTATTCATTTTACAAAGATCAATCATTGTGCTCAATACTTATGTCATTATTTACTTTTAGGTTAAAGTATATTTATTTTTCTCGGTTAATTTTGCAAAAATCTAATTATTTAAACAGATTTCATAATGGATAAGAAAAATTTTTCGAAAAGTCGATTTTGTTTTGAGATTTGTTGAAAACTATGTAATATTATCTTTCAACACATTCTCTTTTAACTATTATCATATATTCTCAACAAATTGTTCAATTAAAGAATAATTTGATCGAAAATTACGCGACATAAATAATTTGGCTTCTTCATCAACAATCTACCTGAACAATTACCAAATGATTCCACCAGTCCAAACGAAAAATCACTCGAATAACTAAAAACTAAGCATACATTCTATCATTATCTTATTACAATTACTACTTAACAGTAGATTCAAACGTAATTCGATTTATTATTTTGAATTTAACTCAACTTCTTCTATTATCAACTTCATACGTAAACAAATATTTGTCTTTATTAATCATAATAACGTTTATTATAAAGTTAGCCCATTATTGCGCAGTTCGTTTATACATGGCAAAGCTTGTTCTTATACTTCCTCTTTAATCATCATTTTCTTCGAACTTAATTGTCTTCTATAAGACTAAATGACTATACTTTAGATAAAGATAAAATCCAGCAGATTTTTTCTTTACATTCACTCTTGTTTATCGTATTTATTCAGTTACTTCATATCTTAAGATTTTTATCTTTATGTCACATAAAACGCACTTTTATGTAAGTAGAAAAACAAAACAAAAATCGAGTGAGAGATGATTAAATGAAAGCATATTAGATAAGATTAGAACAATCATAAACCTTCATTATCATTAAATGAATAAGATATGAAAGTTAATCGATCATAAACAAGGAGTATTTGTGAAATCATCGAATGACGTATCTTGAAGCAGAGTAAAATGACTATTCAGTTTGTCCAGTAAAAAAAAAAGACCATTGATCAACTATATTCAACAGAATATTTATTGAACACAATACAATTGAATTTAGTTATTCAAAAATCTTTTGTTTTAGCTTTTCATGTATTTGACATCAATTGATATCATTGATTTTCTATTATAGACTAAAAATATTGAAAAAATCAAATTATATTAATAGGATCATCCAACGTTAAGCTATACTTTCACATGAATGTATCACTTTATTTTATTGTTAAATCTATAAAAACTATTCTTTTATAATCAGTCAAATGAAGCAGTTTCTCTAACCCTCTAAAACTAATGTTTTAATCTTTACTCTTCTTCAATTTCAGAGAAAGAAAATTTTCATGAATGTCTTTGTTTTTCAGTAACTTTAATCAAAGCTATTCTTTTCGATTAGTGACTTACTACAAATTTATTTTCTTCGAAAATTGTCACAGAGGTTTTATTTAAACGAACAAACGCTTCGAAATACGCTGGAAAATTATCAACTTTAACTGAAATAGAAATATTTTCCTTTTTTTTTTGGATTTCGAGAAAAAGATTTCTTCAATTAGCATAATGCTTAAATTGTTGAGATATTTTATAGTTAATCTTATAGACATTTGTATTGACGACTTATCGATAAAAAAGAATAATTAACAAAATTAAATCAAATAGTAAAGATATATGAGAAACATTTTGAAAAACGACCTTTGCAATATCCTGCAGAACTTTTACATGTCTTGTTACAGTGTAAGTTTTAGCTCTTAGTTATATCTAATAAGTAAATCATGACTATCTGAGAGTGTAGATGTATCGGTCGGGACTTGAGTCGTCTCTTCACTAACACCGAAATTCACACCTGCCCCACACCCAGTGGTATGGTGAGTAAAACGTCTGACATGGAAATGTATTGATTCAAATTGCATCACAGGGAATTATTACCTAACATACACCATTCAACTCTACGCTTAGCCATATGATATGTCATTTAATATCATGTACCTCCACTCTTCCTAAACTAATTCTTGATTTATCCTGTAATGATTTGAAATGTGTATAAAATAAATTTTAGCTTCTTAGATTTATGGAAAAACAACAATCGAGTTTTTGGTCACATTAAGAATTCACCGAGCTCAATCGTATTCGTAAGAATAGACCGAACGAGACTATGCCTAACCATGGTTAGTTTTATTGTTGTCACACGAAGAGCGCACTTTGATCGTGAGATTTTTTTTATTTTATTTTCGAAGAATAATGATATGTCTTCAATGTTTAAATCAAAGCATAACCAAGAAGACCTTCGGCAGTAGTTTGCTCACATTTTGCATCTGGTGAAACAAAATAGTTCGAACCTACTCGACATCGATAAATGGCCATTGTTTTAACATTAGCCTGATCATTTGTATAGATATAACCCAATGGTCCTAGAGCATCTTGATTTTCGCAATTTTGATGTACAGATGGAAAACGTCTTCCGTCACTTTGACGTTGACATTCAAAAATCAGTTTAGTGTTCAGTTGGGGTTCACGAAACAATTTCCATGTCTGTTCAATTTTGTATCCGGCTGGTAACGGTCGTGTTGTTGAAATGTGACCATTGGTTTGATGGTACGCTCGTTTGAGAATTACATAGGGTAAATTTTGGAAACCGCATGATAATTGTGATGGTGACAAGTCGAAACGATTGGCCATTGCCCACAATGACCATGCTCGCTTGTAGTTTCCACTTGTATCGACTAGACCTAAGCCAAGTCCTTGTTGTATTTCAACAATATGATCTCGCATACGATGGTAAATGAATAGATCAACATTAGGCGTAGCTAGCATTATTTCAAAGGCAGCACATAGTTGATCATGTTGTTTATTCTGATCTGAATTTGGTGCTATAGAATTAATACCATTTTCTGTTAAATATACTTTATGTGCGGATGGAGTATTTGGATAAGTTTGCATCAACCATCCAACCAGTCGATTAATATTACCAAATGTAATTTTCGGCCAATCGTTCGGACCAAATTCAGCACGAAGAAGATTTGGTGGATATGGGTGATAGGCCAGAGCCCATTGTCGATTTCCTAATTTTGGCACTAGTTTAGTGATAAATGTTCGTCCAGACATGAACTTTAATAGATAAAATATGCAAATTGAAGAGAATAATTTGAAATCGAGCACAGAAACTACCTACTTACTGGGCTATTCGCTGAAGCATACTGATCAAAAACCGTATCGAAATGATGTTCAAGTGAAACGAGTACCGGTGCTTGAGGTTGTTCACGACGAATCTGATCATAAGAAGCAATGTAAACTTGAGCATAGTGTTGAACCCACGCATCAATATTACATGGTTTACCATTACCACATCCGATATTGTACCATTCAGCTGCATTGACTTCATTCATAATGACAAATTCTGTTATGCGTCCTTTGCCATTTTGACCATTGTAACGCCATGCAAGAAAGCCAGAAAATCGACCGAAAGCTTCAGCATTGTCAGGTGCGCAAAAGTCCTGATTCGGTTGTTTACAATCGGTATTACGTTGACGGGCCCATGCTGGTGGAATGATTAGTATAGCAGTGACCATCAATTGTTGATCGGTATACGTTTTTATTAGATTATCAAGTGCCGGTACGAAACAATAGCCACCATAGGCAATTTCATTGTTCGAACACGGCGTATGTTTTTCTTGTGGTTGAAAATCAGCCCTACACAAGACGAAAATATATTAGTGAGACAGGTCATCACATTATGCTATAGAATATAATCTTTAAAAAATTTATAATCATCAGATTTCTAACAGAGTTTTTCAAGCATATTTCTCTAACGAAAACACTATAACTACAGTGATTGATATTGAAGAAAGAGTAGATATAAGATCGACGAATTGCCAATTAAAAACAAGAAATTACAAATCAAATGTACACTTTTCAATGATTTTTCTTCTGTCAATCAATCAGTTTTTTTATAGTAATCCATTAGTCTTCGATTCAAATCGTTTGGAAAGCTATGAGAAAACTACTGTAGCGTTGTTAACCGAGTAATTTTTTCATTGACAATAGTTTGAATTAGAAAAATTCTCATTTACGTCTACGCCTGAAAACTATAAAAGTGATGATAGACGAAAAGCTAAATATTGCTGCGCAACCAACACACTTTTTCCTGCCTCTATTCAAAAAAAAGTATCAGACTTTGATGTATTAAAAGCTCTCATTTGTCACATATATAGCTTCGCATGTTGTTACCAAGCAGCATTGACCGCGACACCACCCGCTCCATTGCCTGCAATATCCTCAACTTTCCAATGATCCGGTTGAATTGCTTTGATTCCATAGACTGACCGTTGAGGATAGATCTTTGGATTGCTCAGTTCGATAACCGATGGCCGAAATATTTTGTTATCAGTCAATCCGTTACTTACCGAAAGTGCACAACACCAAAGCAGTACGAGATACATCAATAAATTTCTCATTTATGAAATAATAGAATCGTTCTTTTTCTTGTGTATCATGTTGCTGTGCAATAACGTTTATATGTGAGAAAGGAGTCAATGTGGTATCTAAGCCCTGTGTTGTCTGCAGACTTAATCCATATGATACTTGAGATTGTGAACCACGTGGTCATTTTATAATCGATTTTTCTCATCTGTTTGACTGTGGTCTACGCAAATTTCATTCGTTTTTCGTTTCGTCTAGTAAAAACTGATCTTTCACTCTAAACATACAAACAGTGGTGTAAACCGATTAGTTCAGTCACAGAAATTCAATGTATTAAAATATACGTATTTTGCCATTTTAGCTTCGTTCATTATTGAATTTTTCAAGGGCGAAATACCGTACAACTCTGAAAAAAGAAACAAACATGATTAACCAAGATAATAAATGAAAGAAATAAGACTGATATTATAAATTTTGATGAGAAAAACGTTTGATATCACTGTAAGCTATTTTATTGCTCTTTTAATTGAAATCTCATAACGATAGTGAAAACTGATGTGAGAATGTGGATGTACGTGTGAAGTTTGTGAGTGATTTTGGGTGTGAGGACTATCTGTTCAGATCCTAACCCACAACCAACTTCCCCCTCCCCGCTCTCCACTCACCGTCAACCAAAAATGAGAAGGAGAATAATTCAATTATATTCGTTAACAATCATATTTATTAGTTAACAAATCTTTAAAGAAGATTCATTTAAAATAAGAATTTTCTTTAAATATTTTTAATATTACAAAAAAAAATATATTTTTCTTTTATTAACAGTTATTAGAAAACAAAATAAAATATTGATTAGTCAAAAACTGTACAAAAAAAAAACAACAAGTGAAAAAATCCAATGATAATGTACGCTATAGATATTCTACAATGTCATCAATATAAGTTTCATTTTTATGAATATCTTCATCATTTGTCATTAAATGAACTTTTTTCTTACATTTAAAACATTTTTTTCCAAATAAATATTTATCATAAAAATCAAGTGATCGAAAAGGAACTGGTAACCATAACCATGTTCGTAATGGAATTGGTAAAAGCTT